GAACCCTCACCAACACATTAGCTGCACTGTCACGTTGGGCGCTAATTCGTCTCCACAGAAGATCTGCGAGAGAGGTTAATTTAAGGCCAAGGAGATCCCACGCACTGAGAGAAAATACAGCCATTCATCCAGAGAGGGGGGGGCCGCAAAGGAGCGACGGTGGATAGAGAGAGTGAGAGAGAAAGAGAGTGGGGTCAGCTGATGAGGTCAACGTTGCGAGATTTGGAGAGAGTGGGTAGGGAGAGACGCAGGTGTTTCACCAGACCTGTAGCCCAAAGGAAAAACACGGCTTGTGTCACTGATGCTGCCGTCCCCCACATACACCCTCACATTTCTCTCCTCCCATCATCTTACCAGTTCTTTTCATTTCATATCCTCCTTTTCCTTTCTTTCTTTTCTTACAAGAGTTTTAGAATTCAGAACCAAAATTTTGTACCTAACCTCAAATGCTTGCTGTGTCAATCTGTATCCATGTATTTTTCATTATTTAAAATCTCTGATAATGGTTTCAAGCAATTAAACCCTCAGACAATCAATCATCTCTCCATCATCCAGGCATTTAAGTGAGAACATTTTTTTTTTTTTTCAGCTTAAATGATTTCAATTTGGACAATCTAAAAAAGCTGAAAAGTGTTTTTTAAAAAAGAGAAGACATACTTTATTATATCTTGTAGGCTATATCATCTGAAGCTTGGAAAATCACATATTAACATTTTAAATGTATTTACAATGTGCTGACCTAAAATTGAACTGCTTAAAAATCCTAATTCTTTATTAACATAAAACTGCTCAAGCATCATAAATTTGCGAATCCCTGTGATCACGGCTTTCAGCATTCGAGTGTTTATGTTTCTGCAGTGGCCTGTATTCATCCTCGCCTATTACTCCACAGACCTGTCATTATACAGTCACCCTGAGTCACCCCAGGAAGCGAATTCCGCCTTTGAACAGCAAAAGGTCAGAGTAATTCTTCTGAGATATTCATTGGACTCTTAGACGGGAGCAAGGAACCCATCTCTGAGAAACAGACGCTAAGAAAGAACACGAGGCATGGGCCAAATTAACAGCAGCCTTCATTACTGATCAAATGAGGCTCGCTCTAATGACGGGGTAATGTGATCAGGGTGTGGTCCTCTGCTATCCGCTAACGTCCTGGCTGGACCAGGCCCATCTCCATCACCCAGGGGAGAAAGGCAGAGAAATTATGGGAGAAGCTTGGAAGCTTTTATCGATCCGGCATAACATAAAACCGGACTTCATCTAGAAAGAGAAGAAGAAAATGTGTCAAGCAAAGTTAAATGAAAAATTGCTTTTATATTGAGGCATTTATTATTCGAAGTCCCTCAGAGGAAGAATAAGAGGGAGAGAGAGGTACTCAATGAGAGAAGGGAGGGAGGGCGGAGAAGAAAAAATCAATTTGGTAAAGTAGATGCGGATCGATGGTGACGGAGCGAAGCAGTCTTGGCGCATGCCGTCCCACATTACTGCCCTGATTGATCTGTCGGAGTGGCAGTCTGACCCGAGGGCTCTGGAGGAGGTGTCCCACAGAGGAGGGGAGCCCACGCAAAACACGGGGAGAGAAAAATAAAAATCAATACACCCAGAGAGCTTTACTGACCTGACGTTAAGATACAAGAAATGTATGAAGCTGCGTACCTGAATGGGTTCTGACAGCTCACATCCCCTGCAGCAGTTCAGTGCACAGGAGGGTTGGAGTCTCGGGCAAGTGCAGCGACCTCTGCGAACATTAAGGAGACTTGTACCCTCCGCCTGGAGACTCTATTAAGTACAAATTTGTTTATTTCTCAATCTGAGAATTTTTTTTAGGGGATTTAGTCTAGGGTTACTTACTAGAGTCATGCTGTTTTGTAAAAGGAGCTAAAAAGTAATTGAAGGAAAAGGTTATTTCCTGGCTACATCTACCTGAGAGGTATGAGTAAACAGAAAATATAGTGGAAGAACAAGATGAAATCCTCCTTTCCTTGGCTTTGAACCCAATGAGTGCGTGTGGCAAAAACAGCAAGATCATACATTCACATATATATAGCCGCTGAGGGTGACCTCCATTTTGTGGCAGGCACTCTCAGTTTTAACAGCGCCTCTGTGATGTCAATTATCCGCCGCAAGGTTGTGTGATACAGGCTGTAGGTGCGTGGAAATGATTGTGCGAGATGCTTCCGAGTCCAGTGTGGCTCCTGTTTGGGTTAAGTACGGGTTGTTTGACCAATAACGTCAAACAACCGTGGATGAAGTGGCTGATTTATTGACCATTACATAAGCATAAGGTGACATCTCTGTTTTATTTTATTTATTTATTTTTGCCTTGGCTACTGTGGTTAAGGTAATGGCGGACTTATGCTAAGCTAAAACGAGATTCAGTTTTCTTCAGTTTTTAAAAACCACATGAAGTCGTTCGTCAACTGCAGTTTTCTGATGTGTTAACGTATTAGCCTAGGAATGTTTTATAACATGTTATATCATCAACATTATCAGTCCATTTTCCCTGAAGAGAAAGATATTTTTAAATGCGTATATCTGCTAAAAGTCATTTGTCAATGTTTAGGAGAACATTAGCATATAGATGGCCTCAAAGCTAACATACATAGTAGACTAATACCACAAAACTCTCATTTAGATTTCATGGGGTATTTAATATTGGTAGATATTTTGTAGAAGAAAAAAGGCTCATCGGTATATTTTTGAGCATCTACATTTAGTGTGTGTGTTTCTGTTTATGTGTGTGAGAGAGAGAGAGAAAGAGAGTCAAAAAGTTAATCTAAGAAGTAAATATATCAAGGGAAATGCCTTCAGATTGCTTACCTTACATCCTACAAACTGCACTTCTAGCACATCTGACAAATGATTTAAAGAAACAAGCGTTAATTTAATTTACGTGTTTGCTGGCATTGTTTAATTGCTATGAACAACAGCAGTTTGAGTAGTTTTATATTCTCAACAAAAGAAATGTAGAAAAAGAAGGAAGAGAGAGAAAATAAGACGGAGAGAGAAAGAGAACAAAAAGCTATTTCTCCATTGTTACGTATTCCATTTTTGATTCCTGTGAGCTTTGAGAAAAGGTCAGTGAAAACAGAAGATGAATTCATTTATAGTCTGTCCTCTCCCTTCTGTCGCCCGCGGACATTGATCTGTCCTCTGTAACCAGAGTAACAGTGAGCACTTTTTAAACCTTACTGTGAATGATGCACCAAAATTCTGATGCATCATTTGGCTGTGTCATCCCGCTTCTTGTTTTTTGAATGATTCAGCATGTGGATCTACAGCTCTGGATTGGTTCATGCAGATATGTTGTTTCATTAGAGAACAAATACACATCACATTTAAGCTGAATGTACACTGATGTTTCATCACCAGAACAATAAAAGTGTTTTGTTACACCCTGCGGTCCTCACTAAAACTAAAACCAAGGTGGCACATGAGATTAAAAAATAAATAAATCCCATGAGGCTCTTTTTTAAATTACAGACCCATGCCCCAGATAACACTACACTAAGAGCTGTCAGCAATCCACCTGCCCACCCCATCCCTCTCTTCTCTCCCTCCTCCGCTGACAGTCCATTTTTCTCTAGATCCCGACACCTGGGCGCTTACGCGAACGTTTTAAAGATCTGCAGAGGACGCCGAGCCACTCTCACCAGCCCCCCTCCGTCCCTTCCGATGCAGAAGTGTCTCCTCCATCATGTAGTGCTGGATGCCTCCTATTACACTCCTCCTCTATTCCATCCATCCAACGGAAAGGTCACGCTCAGAGTCTCCCTCTTTTACTAAATTGGCTGTTTTCACTGTTAGCTCCACGGCTCAAGCTGTGATTGCGGCAGCCTCGGTATTGGTCCTCTAAGGTCTTGTTTACGAAGCTGGATTTGTCGGAAAACCCATGATATTAAATCTACAGTCGGAGGCTTGCTGTTTTTCACAACTTGCAGTTTCTATATCCTACACAAATTTGTCTATGGCCTGGAACGTGAAAAAATACTTCAGTTTCGTCAGCGAATAGGCCATTCTATATTTCACCCATTCTCTGCATGCACCTATAGCACCCATTTCCATTATAGCATATATAAAATCCAACTAAATTCAAACTATTGTGTTTTTCAAGTCCAAATCAAAGACACCTGTGTGTTTTAGTGTGCCTGGAGACCGTCAGGAGTGTTTGTTTGGTATGGAGAAAATGGGCATGTTTGAATATTGACCCTGCCCCCCTCCCGTAGGGATCGACAGAGACTCAGTGGCGTCAGGCAGACCTGCCGCAGCTCCAGGGCTGGGCTGAGAAGGGACTGCTGACACAGCCAAAGATGGTAAGGAGACTGCTGCCCACTAACCGCCATTTTTAACCCCATTAATAGCTATATTGTTGCTATGAAGTTGTGCTATGAGAGGGAGGGTGTGCGCAGGGGTAGAGTGAAACAGGCGTAATAATAAGTTTTAAATGAAAGTTATTATTAATATTATTACTGTAATTGTTATTAGGGGTGTTACCTGATAACATATTATAGATGGGTGTTGTATTGTCAATATGTATAATGTATGTGTAACATTTCAATGTCTTGTGCTACTAGAAAAATAATGCATATATGATTAAGGAATCACTTTAGTATGTAAAAAATATTAATTTTGTATTTGGATTGCAAGAAAAAAATGTTTCCCTCTTATACTTGAACCTGAAGATCATTACTAGTGTTGTTTTCTCATAGATTTAGCCATCACAGGACCACATAAAGAGTAGACATCTATAGGAGGGAGTGCTAGCATCAAAAGGCTCCGGTAATAACTGGAGAGCATTACCAGTAAAAACACACATCAGAATAGAAGCCTGACATTTTATCATCTTAGCTAATAAGGCTATTAAAGTGCCGTGTTGAAATGGCAGGTATCAGCAACACACACCGAAATGCATCTATCTGCAGTGCTGTGAACACACAAACACACACCTCTGGCTCTGCGTGACTCAGGGACATTGGACTGGTTGAACCTGTATTTTTATCCCCGTCTTGACATCCTCTAAGGCACTTATGTAAGACAGAGTGGCAGAGCTTCTTCCTTCCTGCATTCACACACACACACACACACACACACACACACACACACTCGTCCGTAGCCTGAGCCGGGCCGAGCAGCGTTCAGAAACAGTCGGCATATCTGCCATTGCGTTTGAAAAAATAAAGGAGTGTAATCTGGGGCTACTGTTCAGTTGAATCAAAGGGAAGATGATGTCTGTCCCCCGGCTGACACCAAGGCCTTTGTGATGGCTTAGCATGTCTGCCTGTCTGCTCGCCTTGCCTGTCTGTCTGTCTAACTGTCTCCCTGCCTACTTCAGCTACAGCACAAACAGATACAGCCAGCTAGGCTCTGCCTTAGCTAGCATCCAAACAACTAAAGTTTATACTGTACTATCCCAGTTGAAGGTGCTGTAGGCACATTTTTAATGCCACACATTAAATGTCCCTATTACTTGATAGATAACGCTGAAATCACACCTGTTTTTGTGACAGACCTAGGCTCTGCAAAACCTGGAGAAAGCTATCGGTTAGCATTCTCAATATCAATAGCAGTTGTTCAGCTAGCAAGTGACCTCCATGCTAAATGGTCCATGCTAACCTTGCTGTAAACAGAAAAAAAGAGAGTCAGAGAAGCAGACTGCCATTCTTTAGCTAATCATAGATGCTTTCTGCCCTTTTACGTGTCTGAGTTTGTTGACAGGCCCAAAAGCTATTCTATTTAACATGTATATAATAAAATGGATAGTTAAAATTGTAGATGTTGATTGGTCAATAAAGCATACAACCTGAGATAAAATACACAATATAACAGGGTTCAAGTATTCTACTGAAAATAACACTTAATGAATTAAGTTGTTAAAAAATGTTTGAAAAAATATGTATTACAAATATATAATAGCCTAATTTAATATATGTAACATTCTAATAATATTTTAATAAAGTTCTTTAACAGAAAAGTTTTTTTGAACAAATCACTTGAGTGAATGATATAATGACAAACATATCCAGTTCGATGTTTTGTTCCTAAATGACTCTGCGTTTTTAAATGAATCAGTTGGCCGAATAACTCACGAATCACTCATAAAGACAGTCAATTCTCACCACCTACTGGCACAATGATAAAACCTGAAACAAATCACAAACAGTAAAAATTCCCAGTGTTGTATATCAGCATCTGATTAAATTATTGACAGATTTCTAGGCAACATGAAGCAAAGAGTTTCTTTATTTTGCATTCAAATCTAATCTTTAACTACTCAGGAACAGTAGTTAAGGGAAAGGAGGGAAAATAAAGAAAAGTCACTACACTGACCCCTGTCAGCAGCTAGGGCAAATGTCCAGCAATAGTGAGTGTGTAAAGGAACAATTACCCTTCTCAATATGACAACGAGGGGATTTCATCTACAGGAAAATAATAAAACAGCATATAAGAGCTAGTGAAGGGATTACAAAGGAAAGACAGGTCTTTAATTGGCCATCGAGACACAACAGGTCCCTGGAATCAGAATGAAAGGTGTCCACTTTCATCTGTTCCTTCTCTGGAATATTCAAAGCTCTCATCCCATGAGGTTTGAGCATTTCTTTTTTTTCCCCTGAAAGAACAGTGCACAGCAGGAGCTGCAAACAGGCTTAATAAGTCTCCCCTTTTTCATGCACACATAAAAACACCAAGAAATAAACATACACACACACACACATCAATCAAGACCTGCTGTGGCGTTGGCTATTTTGTCCCTCTTTGCTGCAGAGAAGTGTGGAACAGGATCCATTTACATGCATATCCTGAGAGCTTTGCAGATGAGCCTCCTATGGGCTGCCGGCAGCTTTTTTTCTATTTGTCACATCGAAAAAATGTGAACGTATACAAAGACTAAAAATGGAGGCACAGCAATTGATCCAGAAAAAGGGAGAATGCAACTGCATCTGCCCTTTTTGTAACCATTTTACAGAATCAGAGTGTAACTTAAATAAATACACACACAAACACACACACACACATATATATATATATATATATATATATATACACACACACAC